TGTTTTTTTTTTTTGAGACGGAGTTTCACTCTTGTTGCCCAGGCTGGAGTGCAATGGCGCAATCTCCGCTCACCACAACCTCCGCCTCCCGGGTTCAAGCGATTCTCCTGCCTCAGCCTCCTGAGTAGCTGGGATTATAAGCACGCGCCACCACACCCGGCTAATTTTGTATTTTCAGTAGAGATGAGGTTTCTCCATGTTGGTCAGGCTGGTCTCGAACTCTGGACCTCAGGTGATCCACCTGCCTCGGCCTCCCAACATGCTGGGATTACAGGCATGAACCACTGTGCCCGGCCTACCTGTGGCCTTCTCCCTCACCCAGAGCACCAGTAGCAGTGGTGGAGACCCAGAAATTTCTCTGACACAGCAGCAACCATCCCAGGAAGCCAGCATCATTCAAGCTGGGCAGCCTGAGGCTATGACGTCAGACTTGCCAACAAGAAACCCCAGAACTCTTCCTGGGCCAGGGCTACCAATGCCCTACCATGAATGTTTGGAGCCTCAGCGTAACGTTGCATCACATGGTGGCCAGGGTTCTGCCCTACTCACATAGCGTTAGGGTCCTCATTTCAGAAATTAAAAATGGAAGCTATTTTTCCCCAGTCTACTTTTCCCAAGGTCTTAAAAGCCTCATTTAAAATCGATTAGCAGTAGACCACAGGGAGCAGACCACACTCGAAGAAGTTATGAGGGACCCGTGGGTGAACAGTGACCAGGATTTGCCTTTGACCACAAATGAAGAACAAATCCTGGAATATCCGAACCACAAAACAGCCCAGCTCTTGGTGGCCTTGGGATTGCAGGCTGAGAACATCTCCGTGGCAATCAACAAAAATTATTCAATTATCCCATAGCCACCAACCTTATTTTGGAATAAACAAACAAAGCAGTCCACTATCAGACCACAGACCCTTCCTTCTGGGGTTCACAACATTTTTCCTCTATCCATAGAAGTTTCCACTACCCTTCTCCCACTAAAGCAGGCTCACAGCATTGAGCAGAATAGCCTCTTACTGGCCAGTGCACCTGCCAGCCTACAGAGAAAGCCAGAGAGCTTTAATCAAGTTCCCCAGCATGACCCTGTGGCTTCCCCCTCCACCCAGAGCACCAGCAGCAGTGGTTCAGACCCAGACACCTCCCTGGCTCAACAAGCCACCCAGCATGAGCCTCTTCCACCGAGAGCAGCAACAGTAGTGGTGCAGACCCAGAAACCTCTCTGGCTCAACAAGCCCCCAAGCATGACCCTGTGGCCTCCCCCGTTACCCAGAGCACCAGCAGCAGTGGTGAAGACCCAGAAACATCCCTGGCTCCAGAAGCCCCCGAGTATCACCCTGTGGCCTTCTCCACCCAGAGCACCAGTAGCAGTGATGGAGACCCAGAAATGTCCCTGACACAGCAACAACCGTCCCAGGAAGCCAGTGTCATCCATGCTGGGCAGCCCAAGGCTTTGATGTCAGCCTCGCCAATAAGAAGGTGAGGCTGCCACAGAGCTGACAAGAGGTGCATTTCTATTCTATTAAAATGTTTTTGCCTGTGTCCACCACCGAAAAGGAGGAATAAGATGACCCCAACATAGTTTGATGGCTGAAGACAAAAATCAAGTCGGTGGGGTCATTATTGTTAGCTTAGTCAGTACTGCTAGGGTAGTTTTATAGTCAGTGTAGGGAGGTGGCACCTTGGAGAAGGGATCGGCCTCCACCCCACTTGACCGGGAGCTCCAGAACTGTAAAATCCTAGACACCATCGGCCGTGGCGCATTCAGTGAGGTCAACTGGCCCATCACGTGCTGACTGGGACCCAAATGGCCATCAAAATTATCCCCAAGGCTAGCTCCCACGGCCTCACTCTCCAGAAAGAGAGAGAAGTATTTTGAAGTCTCTCTATCACTTTAGTATTGTACAAATATATCAACTGATTGACACCCCCAACACCAGTTTGTTTAGTAACAGAGTGTGCAAGAGGAGGAGACCCGCACAACTGATACACCACCACCACCTCACGAGGGAGGAGGAGGTCTGGACCATGTTCAGGCAGGTTCTGTCGGCCATGCAGTACTGCCACAGCAAAAAAATTGCCCAGAGAGAGAGGCTTGAAGCCAGAAAACATCGTACTCGATGAGGACGGTAACATTAAGATTGCAGACTTCGTCTTCCATACTACGTTCAATGAAGGACAGAGGCTGACAGCCCTTTGTAGCACCTACCCCTACATGGCCCTGGAACTGTTCCTGGGCCAGGGCTGCCAATGCCCCCCTATGGATGTTTGGAGCCTTGGAGTAATGTTACATCACGTGGTGGCCAGGGTTTCGCCCCTCCACTCAGGCAGCCTTGCTGTCCTCACGGAAAAAATTTAAAATGGAAGATATTTTCCCCCAGTATACATTTCCAGAGGTCTTAAAAGCCTTCATAAAAAACTATTAACAGTAGACCCCAGGAAGCAGACCACACTAGAAGAAGTTATGAGGGACCCATGGGTGAACAGTGGCCAGGAGTTGCCTCTGACAACATATAAAGAACAAATCCTGGAACATCCGAACCCCAAAACAACCAGGCTTTTGGTGGCCATGGGATTCCAGGCTGAGAACATCTCCATGGCAATCAAAGAAAAATTCAGTTATCCCGTGGCCACCTACCTTATTTTGGAACAAACAAAATGAAAGAAGCTGTCCACTATCAGACCAGAGACCCTCCTGGGGTTCACAACTTTTTTCCTCTATCCACTGAAGTTTCCACCAGCTTTCTCCTGCTGAAGCAGGCTCATAGCATTAAGCAGAAGAGCCCCTTTCTGGCCAGTGCACCTGCCAGCCTACAGAGGAAGCCAGAGAGCTTTAATCAAGTCCCTCAGCACGACCCTTTGGCTTCCCCCTCCACCCAGAGCACCAGCAGCAGTGGTTCAGACCCAGAAGCCTCCCTGGCTCAGCAAGCCCCACAGCATGACCCTGTGGCCTCCCCCTCCACCCAGAGCACCAGCAGCAGTGGTGGAGATGCAGAAATGTCCCAGGCTCAACAAGCTGCCCAGTGTGACCCTGTGGCCTCCCCCTCTACCCAGAGCACCAGCAGCCATGGTGGAGATCCAGAAACATCCCTGGATCAACAAGCCCCCCAGTAACACCCTGTGGTCTTCTCCACCCAGAGCACCAGTAGCAGTGGTGGAGACCCAGAAATGTCCCTGACACAGCAACAACCATCCCAGGAAGCCAGTGTCATTCAAGCTGGGCTGCCCAAGGCTTTGACTTCAGCCTTGCCAATAAGAAGGCTGTGACTGCTGCAGGGCTGCCAGCAGATGCATTTCCATTCTATTAAAATGTTTTTGCCTGTGTCCACCACTGAAAAGGAGGAATAAGATGACCCCAACATAGTTGCACAACTGAAGACAAAAATCAAGTCGGTGGGGTCAGTATTAGCATAGTCACTACACTTAAGAATAGTTTTATAGTCAGTGTAGAGAGGTGGCACTATGCAGCAGGGATCGGCCACCACACCTGACCAGGAGCTCCAGAACTGTAAAATCCTAGACACCATCGGCCGTGGCGCATTCAGTGAGGTCCAACTGGCGAATCACGTGCTGATTGGGACCCAAATGGCCATCAAAATCATTCCCAAGGCTGGCTCCCCTGGCATCACTCTCCAGAGAGAGTATTTTAACGTCTCTCTGCCACTTCAATATTGTACAATTGTATCAAGTGATTGACACCCCTGACACCAGTTATTTATTTAGTAACTGAGTATGCAAGAGGAGGAGACCTGCACAATCGATAGACCGCCATGGCCTCACGAGGGAGGAGGAGGCCTGGACCATATTCAGGCAGATTCCGTCAGCCATGCAGTAGTGTCATAGCAAATAAATTTCACATAGAGAGAGACCTGAACCCGGAAATCATCATTCTTGATAAGGATGGTAACATTAAGATCACGGACTTTGGCTTTGGTACCACATTCCATGACAGGCAGAAGCTGACAGCCCTTTGTGGCACTTACCCCTACATGGCCCCATTCCTAGGCCAGGGCTACCAATGCCCCACCTTGGATATTCGGAACCTCAAAGTAATTTTATACCACATAGTGGCCGGGGTTCTGCCCTTCTGCTCATGCAGTATTAGGGTCCTCTCAGCAAAAATGTAAAGTGGAAGCTATTTTTCCCCAGTCTACTTTTCCTGAGGTCTTAAAGGCCTCATTAAAAAACTATCAGCAGTAGACCCCAGGGAGCAGACCACACTAGAAGTGATGAGGGACCCGTGGGTGAACAGTGGTCAGGAGTTTCCTCTGACAACATATGAAGAACAAATCCTGGACCACCTGAATCCCAAAACAACCCAGCTTTTGGTGGCCATGGGATTCCAGGCCGAGAACATCTCTGTGGCAGTCGTAGAAAGAAAATTCAACTATGCAGTGGCCACCTACCTCATTTTAGAGCACACAAAACAAGAGAGGAAGTGCTCCACCATCAGAGAACGTTCCCTTCCTCCTGGGGTTCCCACCTGTCCTTCCCCATCCACTGAACTTTCCACCTTCCCTCTCCCACTGATGCGGGCTCATAGGGAGCCAGCTTGTCAGACGTTTAACGTTCAGCCTGTCGAGGAAGGCCAGATGTCTGGGCAGAAGACTGCCATTCTTGCCAGTACACTTGCCAGCCTGCAGAGGAAGCCAGATCGGGGAAGCCAGGAAGTTTTAATGAAGCCCCCAGCATGACCCTGTTATCTCCCCTTCCACCCAGAGCACCAGCAACAGTGGTGAAGTCTTAGAAACGTCCCTGATCCACCGAAAACCATCCCAGGAAACCAGCATTGTCTAAGCTGAGAAGCCTGAGGCTGTGACGTCAGCCTCGTCGGCAAGAAGCTGGGGCTGCCGCAGGGCTGCCAGCAGATAGATGTCTTTGCATACTATTAAAATGTTTTTGCCTGTGTCCACCAAAGAAAAGGAGGAATAATATTGCCCCAACATAGTTGCATGACTGAAGACAAAAATCAAGTCGTTGGGATGGTCAAGCCACAATTCCTGCATTTTACTATATTTCTTCTGTCTTTATTGTATTGTTTCATTTGGCAAATCATGCTTGTATTCATTCACGGGGTACAATGTGAGGAGTGGATAAATGTGTGCACTGTGGAATAAGGAAATCCCGCTACTTAGCATCTCCACCACCTCAGAGAGACCAAGAGACGAATTCCACATGAAGTCTCAGAAGTGTTGATCTAAAAAAGTTGACCCCATAGAAGTACAAGTATATTGATGGTGACCAGGGGCCAGAGAGTGGCAGAGGGAGGGAATGGGGGGGTTGTCGGTTAAAGGACCAAAGTCTCAGGGAGGAGGAAGAGGTTTTGACATCTAGTGCACAGCAGAGTGACCAGAGTCAATGAGAGTGTCTTGCATTTTGCAAAACACCTGAAAGAATCCATGTCAAGTGTCTCTCTGCATTTAGATTGGAGAGGATGAAGGCTCTGAGGTCCAAGAACATTGAAACCTGACAGTGTATGCCAATGACTGTAGGGAGGAGCCGGGTGAGATGCCCAGGCTGCCGTCTGCCCAGCAACGTGGGAGCCTGCAGTACTTTCCTGCAAAGCTCTATTTTATCTTTTCAAATAAAAATGGTTACTGATTACCAGTAACCATTACCAGTTCTTGCAAATCTTGTAGTAGCATTAGGCGGCAAATAGGTCACAGACACTCTGCTGCTTTGTGCCCTCCCTGCACAAAATAAGGGCTGTTCACACTCTAGTTCAGGTGGCATGCAGTCAAGTGATCCTCTCAGTTACTCAGAAAAACAGAAAGAGACCTCAGAGAAGTATCAGGGTGAGCCCACCCACAGTAAATCATTATTAGTGACTCTGAAGGGCTGAGGCTCTGAGCGGGTGCAGGACAGAGTCTCACATTGTGCATGGCCTCCCTACATTCATACTGCCTGGTGAACATTTTCAGAAGGACCAGCGACCCCTTCAGGTCCCGTCTGCCTGTGTTAATCACGTTGAGAAGTCTCCAGGAGGACCCTGAAGCCCTGGGAACCAGACTGTGCTGGGGTCAGAGTGGTGTGGGTGTGGTCCCCAAAGCGCCTTAGGGGGCCACTTGTGCTGCTAGGCTCCTGGCTGTCTAGTGTGGCATTGGCCTTTGTGCTTCGATAGTTTCCCCTTTTGATAACAGCAGCACGAAGTGCTACCCCTGAGTCCTGACGGAGGAGTGCTTCTGGGTGAGGCAAGCATCCTGGGTGTCGGGAGGGTTGATGGCAAGACAGCAGCAGCCCCGAGGGATGGAGCGGGTGGTGGGAATTGGGCTTTCATAAGGCAGGTTCCAGCTTCCCAGGAACCTGGTCTTTCTATGTCAGGCAGTGAATCTATGGGTGTAGATGCCCATCAGCACCCATCAGGGAGCTTCCTTGTGGATTCCTAAGGAGCTTGAGGTAGGTCCAGAAGGCCCCATCCTTGTGCATGGCCAGCATCTCAGTGTGCCAACCTTGAACATGCGGTACCCACTACTGATGGTGGCCAGGGTCGGTCCTGGAGTTCCCCTAGTCAGATAAGATTCTCCTTCCCCAATAAAGAGCAGGACCAGGTAGCAAGAAGCAGTCTCAGGATAGGGTGGGAGTGTTGTGGAGTCCCTTGTCTCCCCAATGAGCTGCTGTCCTTTAAATCTACCTTGGGGTGAAGGTCCCTCAGGTGTCAATACTGGATCTCCCTCCACCCAATGCCAGTTTGTACCCCAGAGAGAGGGCCCCTGTGGGTTCTGCTTGAGCTCCCCAAGGGCCCGTCAGAGTCTGTCCCTCCACCTTGCTGCTGTGCCCCCTCTGGAAGTGCCGTCCTGTGAGAGGGCACCTTCCCAGGCCTGACTTTTACTATCATTGGACAAGGCCAGAATTGTTTCTGGCTGTGACCTATGGTAGAGCTTGACATCTCTTCAGAAGCCAGGGCTTCCAGCCCATTGAGCTGGGCTGGGTCAAGGGACTATTGGGAAGGGCACCAGGGCAAAAGCCCACAAACAGAGAAACTCCCTTCAAGTATCCACCTGGGCCAGCATGCAGGCCGGGCAACCTTGGCTTGTTCATCATCCTTTGCTACCAGCAGCCTCCATATGGCAGACATTCTTCTCCTGGGGGACTGACAGCCATGGAGGGTGGGGAGCAGGCCTGAGCAGGGCGGGTTCCCTAAAGACAGCCCAGAGAGCAGGCTCAGATAGTGGGGGGTGGGTTCAGCTCCACTGTCCAGGTGAGGAAACTGAGCTGAAGAGAGATCAGGTAGCATCCCCAATGAAATCTGGCCAGGAACAGAAGGCAAAGGTTTGCTGTTTACCCCGTCCCAGGCTGCCCCACACCCACCCAGCCACTTCCCAGTACTCTGCTTTGTTCCCATTCTCAGGTTCTTAAGTCGTCCTGTTTTACACCTGTCACCCCTACTGGAACAAGGACCTTGCCTCCCTGAGAGCCACACAGCCCTGGCACCCAGGAGGCCCTCAATCAATATCTGTGGAATCAGTGAGACCCTGGGATTCAAGCCCGAGGTGTGTCTGCAGAGCATTGGAAGTGCAGCCTCGGGTCCGTCCCCAAGGTCGCCTGATAGAGCAGGCCTAGGGATCCGCAGGGGCCGTGGACGCCTACCGTGACTCTCGGGAAGGCTGGTGGGACTGTCACTAAGCTTATCTGCCTGTCCAATCTTGGGGATCCTGAGCTCCCTACTGGGCAAGCTCGCAGGGGTTCGGCTGTGCCTATGGGTCTCTGGCTCTGCCTCCCAGTGCCGGCTCGGACGCTGCCCAGGCTGGGCTAGGCCGTTGGGAGCCACGCCCCCTGCTGCGTCACTGCCACCTGGCCCCGCCCCCGTCTCCATGGCCGCTGGACCAGATGTCAGCAACTGCTCCAGAACCTAGTGTGTATATATCTTCCATATACTTGCTAGTATGTGTCCCCTTTTTCCCCAGACCTCCTCCTGTGCAATACGGAATGATGAAAATCTAGAAACAGGAATCTCACTCACGGCCTCCCTAGGACTCAGGTTTTGTGAAGGGGGATGGGGTGGGAGGAAAAGCAAACCCCTTCAAACCAACACCTAGTCTAGAGTCTGATCAAAGTGCCATTCAAAGCACGATTCCTCCCTTTACTTTCCTATAACCCGAGAATTCTTCCTGAAAAAGGTGGCCCCTGAGAACCATCTAAAAGCATTACCGGGTGGAGGGGCAAGGGTCCTGAGAGCTGGTCTTGCCATCCCTTGTCCCAGTTTTCTTGAAGCCGAGCTCCAGAGAAGAGGCGGGGCCTGTGGGGCGTTTGGATTACACTCCAAGTCCAATTTCCAATCCAGCAATCCTGCCCTCACAGGCTCCCTTCATCTGTCCACTTGGCAAAGGAAGGGGCGGGTCGGCCCACGCCCCCTGCCTGGCTGCAGACATCAGAAAGGTGTCCATGTAGCCGGGGCCCCAGAACCATGTTTGTGTGGAAAGAGCCCAAGGACCTGGATGGAGCCCTTTCGGCTCAAGAAGAGCGTGAGGGACCCAGCCCCCTTCTGAAACCTGAACCGAATTCTGGCCTGTGAAGGCCTCCAAGTGGGTCTTCTTGCTTCCCCATCTTCTGAGGCCCAGGCCTTTCTCAGAGCCTCCATGGGTCCCACCCCTGCACCCATCACATGGTGTCTGGGCCCTGCCTGCCTGGCTCACACCCCCCACCCTGCTGCCCTATTCCCATCCCTGAAATGGTCCACCGGACACTGCCATTCCCTCTCTTAAAAGACTTTCACAGGCCCTGACCATCCCTTGGTCGATCTAGTGAATGTCACCCCCTCAGAGAAACCCTCCCTGAGCACCCCATCTGCAGTAGGGTCACCCCCATCTTCCACCCTCACTGTTCCTGGTGTCTCCTTCCTAGTCCCCACGTCTATGGGGAGTTTCTTCACTGATAGACTAGACTCCCTCGCCCCCCCGGGGGCCAGCGTTGTCTGTCTTCTCTGTCCCTGCACACCAGAGGTGATCAATGATCACTTGTTGACATCAATGAAACAGGAAGGCCCCTGAGGTGCCGGGAGCCGTTCACTGCAGGTGAGAAGGAGCCTTGAGAAGTGGAGAAGACCCGAGTTAGTGTCCTCTCCCCACCCGGAGGGTCAGCTCCTGGCAGCTCTGCGGCTCTGTGGCTTGAGGCGCCTTTCCCCTGTGCCCTTGAAGCCGGGGGGGGGGGGGGGGGGCCCCGGGGGGGGCCCCGGCGGGGCGGGGGGGGGGGGGCGCCCCCCCCCCGGGGGGGGGGGGGGGGGGGGGGGGGGGGGGGGGGGCCCGCAGGGGACGCACTCGGTCAGCTGTGGTCCTGCAGCAGCCACGCCCGGAGGGCGGCACTTAGGAAGGACAAATTCCAAAACCCAGGCCTCCAAAGGACCCATGGGAAGGTCGGGAGGCTCAGGGGAGTGATCCCAGCTGCGGAGGGTTACCCTCAGCTGAGGCCTCTGGAGGCGCTGAGCGGGCCGGGCGCCGCGGGACCCGCAGAGGGTGCCCGCCTGTGTTGGGGCAGCAGCACCTGGAAGGAGGCAGCCCCGGCCGCCCGCAGAGCTCCGTCTCCCAGGCCGGGCTGTGTGTTTTTTGTCCAGGCTGTGCTGAGCCGATGACCGTTAAAAGCCCCGCCCGCCGCCGCTCACCGCCTCCTGGCCCCGCCCCCGTCTCCATGGAGACCCGACGCCGCCGGACAGCCTTTCGGCAGCTGCTCTGGAGCCTGGGGCCTGCCCCGTTCGCCCTGTCTGCCTCCCGGGGGTCATGCTACCCAGGCTGACCCCGACTCGAGTCACCAGGATACCTCTCCTGGGCCACTTCCCCGCGGGGCGGGCAGTAGGGCAGGGCGTGCTGGGAATCCCTTGTACCCAGGGAAGGGAATTGCCCCCAGGCCCAGAGAGTTTGGAACCTGGGGTACTGCCACCAACAGCCCAGGACTCTCCCAGCTGGACCCTCCCCTAGAGTCTTCCTGCAGCAGGGCTCTCTTCCGGAGGGGCTGTGAATATTTCCCCGGGGTGGGGCTAAGCCAGAGCCCAGAGGTTAGCCCCTGGGGCATGGATCCCCCAGGTCACTCGCCCCCCGCAGGCTGCAGTGAAGGAGGCTCTGAGGGAAGGATGACTGGCTTTTCCCCTGCAAGGATATGAGCCCCAGGGAAGGCATTCCTGCTCTGGGACTGCCTCCCTCTCCCACATCAGAGCCAGCCCTCAGAATCTTGGCCAAGCTGACCACTCTGTCTGTGATCTCTGCCAGGGAGGCTGAAAGAACATCCAGCCCCACCCCTGGTCCCTTCCCGCCTCAGGCTGTGTGACAGTATGACTCCCCACCTATTTGTTCGTTTCCACTGGAAATACTAGTAAAACAATTCCTCACCCTCGACCCCAGGGAGTGACCCCCACTAAACCAGCTGATGTGGGATCCCTGGGTCAGTGCCGGCCAGAAGACACTGCTGACACCATACAGAGACCCTGGACACCTATGTCCCCTATAACCCTGGTCATGGTGGCCATGGGATTCCAAGCATCACACATCTCGGAATCAATATTCTCCCCCACAAAAAATACACATATGATTATCCCATGGCCTCGTACCTAATCCTGGGGTGCAGGAGAAGTGCAGAGGAGGAGGCGTTCCATCATTGGAGCACAGTCCCTTCTTCCTGGGGGTCCCACCTGTTCTTCCCCATCTGACAAAGTCCACCTTCCCCGTGGAACCAAAGAGGGCTCAAAGGGAGCCGGCTGTTCCCACTTTTAATTTTTGGCTGCCCAAGAAGGGCGAGAAGTGAGAGCAGAAGCCCACCATTCCTGCTCAGAACTCTTCCTGGGCTGGGGGTACCAGAGCCCTGCCACGGACATATGGGGCCTCGGCGTCCTCCTCTACCATATGGTGGCCGGGGCCCTGCCCTTCTATTCAGGGAACACGATGGACCTCAAGAATAAAATTCTCACAGAAAGCTACCATGCCCCACCATTCTTTTCCGCCTTCAACTTGAAAGACTCATTCAAAAGTTACAAACACTAGACCCCAGGGAGTGGCCCCCACTGAAACAAGTTTTGAGGGACTGGTGGGTGAACTGTGGCCAGGAGATGCCATGGACAACATACAAAGAGCCGCTACTGGACCACCCGAACCTCAAACCACCCAGCTTCATGGTGGCCATGGGATTCCGGACAAGAACATCTCTGTGCCAATCAAATAAATAGCATTTCACAATCCTATGGCCACCTACCTCCTTTTAGAACAAACAAAAGAAGCAGTCCACCATCAGACCATGGTCCCTTCCTCCTGGGGTTCCCACCCGTCCTTCTCTATCCACTGAAGTTTCCACCTTCCCTCTCCCACCGAAGCAGGCTCACAGCCAGCCAGCGTGTCCCATATTCAGCATTCACCAGAAGACCACTGTTCCCGCCAGTGCATCTGCCGGCCTGCAGAGGAAGCCAGACAGTTTTAGCAAAGCCCCCCAGCATGACCCTGTGGGCTCTCCCTCCACCCACACCACCAGCAGCAGTGGCAGAGACCCAGAAATGTCCCTGGCCCAGCGAAAACCATCGCAGGAAGCCAGTGTTGTCCAAGCTAGGCAGCCCGAGGCTGTGAAGTCAGCCTTGCCAACAAGAAACTGGGGCTGCTGTGGCCAGGCGCGATGGCTCATGCCTGTAATCCCAGCACTTTGGGAGGCCGAGACAGGCGAATCACGAGGTCAAGAGATCAAGACCATCCTGGCTAACATGGTGAAACCCCATCTTTACTAAACATACAAAAAATTAGCCGGGCGTGGTGGCGGGTGCCTGTAGTCCCAGTTACTCGGGTGGCTGAGGCAGGAGAATGGTGTGAACCCGGGAGGCAGAGCTTGCAGTAAGCCGAGATTACACTGCACTCCAGCCTGGGGGACAGAATGAGACTCCATCTCAAAAAAAAAAAAAAAAAAGAAAGAAAGAAACGGGCTGCCACAGGGCTGCCAGACAATGCACCTTTCAATTCTTTTTTCTTTTTTTTTGGCAAATCATGCTTGTATTCATTCATGGGGTACAATGTGAGGATTTGATAGATGTGTGCACCGTGGAATGAGGAAATCCCGCTACTTAGCATCTCCACCACCTCACAGAGACCAATTCCACATGATGTCCTGGAAGTGTTGATCTAAAAAAATTGACCCCATAGTAGTACTGAGTAGATGGATGGTGACCAGGGGCAGGAGAGTGGCAGAGGGAGGGAATGGGGGGGTTGTCGGTCAAAGGACCAAAGTCTGGACAGGAGGAAGAGGTTTTGACATCTAGTGCACAGCAGGGTGACCAGAGTCAATGAGAATGTTTTGTTGTTGTTGTTGTTTTGCAAAACACCTGAAAGAGTCCGTGTCAAATGTCTCCCTGCATTTAGATTGGAGAAGACAAAGGCCCTGAGGTCCAAGAACATTGACAGTGGACACCAATGGCTTTGGGGAGGAGCCTGACGAGATGCCCACACTGCCGTGTGCTCAGCAACACGGGAGCCGGCAGCACTTCTCCCCTGCCCTGCTCTATTTTATCTTTTTTAATAAAGATGGTTCCTGATAAATGACTGTTTCTTGCAAATCTTGTAGTAGCATTGGAAAGGTGGCAGGTGGGTCACAGACACTCTACTGCTTTGCGCCCTCCTTGCACAGAACGTGGGCTGTGCACAGCCTAGTTTAGGTGGCATGCAGTCATGTGATCCTCTCAGTTTCTCAGAACAAATGAAAGGAAAAGACACCTCAGAGAAGAATCAGGGTGACCCCACCTGCAGCGAATCATTACCAGTGGCTCTGAAGGGGTGCAGGCTCTGAGCGGGTGCAGGGCAGAATC